ACTGTAGTGAGGAGTTGATAGAATATTCGCTCTTCTCTGTGAGATGTCCAAGCTTTTTTGTGAGTTCTTTTGCTGTGGTATGTTGGAGTCCCTGGTAAGGCTACAATTGGTCGGAGAGGTATGTTGGCCCTGTGTATTTTTGGTCTTCCATAGAAGCGTGGGAGGATGGGTCTGCTGCTTTTCATCCGCCACTGTTCTTCTTTTGTGATCTGGCCTTTCTTGGTTAGGTCATTAAGGGTTCTCTTGATCAGGTTGTCTAGTTTCTTGGTGTTAACTGGGATGTAGGTGGGAGGATGGGTCTGCTGCTTTTCATCCGCCACTGTTCTTCTTTTGTGATCTGGCCTTTCTTGGTTAGGTCATTAAGGGTTCTCTTGATCAGGTTGTCTAGTTTCTTGGTGTTAACTGGGATGTAGGTTTCTTTGTCCTCTAATATTTTTTTGGCTTTTTGCAAGTATTGTGATTTATCTATCTGTGGTTTGGCGTTTGCTGGGAGGAGGATGATGGTTTGGTCCTTCTTTAGGCTTTTGAGGGCTGCTCTGTCCTCTGCTTTGAGTTGGTGCTTATTCTGTGTTCTTCTGATCTGTGGTATGATTGTCTGCCTTATATTTTCTTGGGTCTTGGTGTTAAGTCCTGTGGTTTTAAGTGCTGCTTCTAAGGCTGCATGGAATTCTAGCTGATTAGCATTGTCCACGTTATAGTCAAGGCCATTCTGGAGGATATTGTGTTCTGCAGTGGATAGTGGTCAGCTGGGTAGTCAACCACTATCCACTGCAGAACACAATATCCTCCAGATAAGCAGAGATTAACACCAAGATTATCACCAGACATGCAATCAAGCAGTAAACAATACCCTAACCAAGGAACTACCAGGAGAAGAAAAAATAAAAACATAAAAATAAACCACCACCATCACCCAACACTGGCAGGGCATGCCACTGTATAGAAACAGAGAGCAAACCCCACTCCATTCCAGCACTGAAGATGTTACCTAGCTGGGTAACGAAACATCTTCAAGAAAACAACCCAGCTCAGAGAACCCCGAGGACCCCACAGTTCAACCCTGAGCTAGACATATTCTCTTCTATTGATAACACCTTTTTCCACTAACATATTTTATTAAAAGGCAGAAGCTTTTGTGAGCAGCAGCAGGTCTCTTCATCAGATACAGTTTCTGAAAGCTTCTGTCCTTTAATTAAAAATTTTAGTTCAAAAATGTGCTATATGATTCCTGATTTTTTGCCACCGTAGACTAACATGGCTCTCGTCCAACAAGAGCAGATGCTGATTCCTCCCAGGGGCCAACCGGAGTCTCTGGGGCAGTCAGAAGCAGATTCTGTGCCATGGACAGACCCTTCCCCAGCCTTGCATTCCTCCCAAAGGCTTGGAAGAGTCCGGCTTCCTCTGTGGCAAAGTAGAGGGACACTCTGGGAAAGCTGGCTTCCCTACCAGGGCCCTGCATCTCTTTTTTTAAAGCTAGTGGCCCCCGTGACCTTGTGCGGAAGCCAGTGCCAGCCACGGTTCAGCCACATCTCCTGGCAGATGGATACCCTTTTCTTCCGCCCCCAACGTCAACAAGCCCCCCCCCCCCGGTTCATTCAAGGCTTATGCTTGGCAGGGAAAGAAATCAGCAGTTTGCAGTCTTCCCCTGTTTCTGCTTACCTTACCTAAAAAAAAACCTAGACTGGGCCTGCCAGAAGTATAAGGGCGTTTTTGTTACTGAATTTTCAGGTGAAAATGGCAGGGGTGCAGGTATTGCTGTCCCGATGTTGTAAATGGAGCTCTTCCAGAAAGTGAAAAAGTCAGGTCTGCCTTGATTTGGACTGAAGAGGGGGGTTCCTCTTGCAGACCCCTCAAGAAAGGGTGCAGATGCTGTCCTCGTGAGGAAGGGTGCCCCCTCCAGCTTCAAGTGGGTGGCTCCCTTGGGCTCATGGATTGCCTGGCAGGCTCGACCCCTAGGGGCACGTCTATGTTGCCCGGTGTCTGTAGAATCGCAGGGTGAAAGGGGGCCTGAGGACCGAGAGCCCAGCCCTTTGCCGAGAGCCAAAAACATCCCTGTCCTTCAGCACGTCCGCAGCAGGAGACTCGGTGTCTGGGGGTCCTTGGCTCCACTGACCAGCTGCGCTCACTGCTTGATTATGTCCCTAACGTTTCATTGGAATTGGCCTCCTGGGACTTCACCCCATGGGTCCAGGCCTTGTGAGGGTCTTGATCTTTTTCTCTCTGGGGGTCTGAAGAGGGCCCTCCTGTCTCCCACCTTCTCCAGGTTAAACAGTTCCACCTCCTGGCTCTCTTTGGGTTCCGGTCGCCGATGGCGCTCGCCCTTCTCTGAAAGTGGTCCAGTTCCCCCAAATCCTCCTTGTGCTCGGATGCCCAGAACTGTGTGGGGTGCTGGGGTCTGACCGATTTGTCCAAAATCCTCTGGAACAATTCACGATTTGGAAATTCTGCTTCTGTTGGCACAGCCTAAAACTGCTGGACTGCTCCAAGCCAAGTACCCCCCGCCCTGTACCTTGGCATTTAAGTGAAAAACTTGTTTCTGTTCAGCCTCGTTTGCGTTAGCCTGTTTCTCCTGTGGGATATTAGCTACCCCAACCATCTGCAAATCTGATAAGCATCCCACCCCAGCCGCTACTGAAAATACGGAAGAGTTGAAGACCAGGACCGCCCCTCGCGCTTCCCCCCGGTTGCCCCTTCAGCTAGCAGCCGCAGCTGGTGCTTGTGAGGTCCGGTTGCGGCTAGGAAGCGGGCTGAGGACGGTCTTTGGCCCCAGATCGGCGAAGAAGCCGTCCCAGGGCGCGCTCTCGAAACTCGGGGGGCTCAGTGCCAGCTGGGCCTGGGCAAGGGCTCGCCCCGGCGCTGCCTGTGTCTCGGCCTGGCTGAGGCAGGCAGTCCTCACCCAGAAAGCCTTCGCTGCTCCGCAATCTAGAGTGTCTCTCTTTGAGAAATCCTCCTCGGCCTTCCAGAAAGGGTTTAAGAAACCGCTTTCAGGGTTAAGAATATTTATTTTATATTTCAGATTTGGTTACCGCCCATCTCACTAGGAAGTGACTCTGGGCGGTTTACAATAAAAACAAAAAATAAATATTAAAATACAGTGAAAATAGTATAAAGATACAATAAAAATACAATAAAAACCAAATACATAAATAATAATGTTTTAAACCAGCTTTTAAGATTTTGATGCTATTGCTATGGTTTACATTTTTTTTTCAGTGTGATTTTAAAAATTATTTTGCAGTACAACAGTTTGGAGAGAGCCAGGGCAAGGAAGTAAAGAACCAGCATTAACGATGAGTTAATCTCACCATGATTGCATAAATATCCAGGGCACACAGGACAATTCTACACCTCCCTGCTGCTTTCAGATACCAGCCCTGCTACTACATATAATGTTGCCAGGCTCTGCGCAGCAGCACTTATAATTCATCAGATGATGGCCTGTCCCATAAAATAGTCTTAATGAGCATCTAGTTCATCTTACTAGAGTGCTCTGTAATTCGATAGATACAATAATTTGATAGATATAATAATAATATACTATGCCATATACTAACCTTCATGCTCCCCTACACCCATCTAATGCTCCTACCCCTCCTTTTAGATACATACTTTATATCTTTTAGCTGCTGCTGCTGCTGCTGCTGCTGCTGCTATTATTATTATTATTATTATTATTATTATTATTATTATTATTATTATTATTATTTAGGCTCTGATGTATTTTCTATGCTTTTTAATGACTGTACCCCACCCTCCTTATGCTGGTCTTTGACCACAATAAAGATCTAATTTCATTTGGGTTCACAACATGCCTTGTGCTGACTCTTTCTCCAGGCACACAAGCGTGTGCATACACACACAGAGGGTCTGGGGAATGGCAGCAATGGACTATGACTAGCTCTGTGCTGTTGAGTGTGCCTGAATATGTTGAAGGTGCTTTGGTGTTTGTGTCCTTGCTTCAGGAAGATGACTAAGGGAGATGCAGGTTCAACGTCATCCTACTTCTGCCTGCCTGAAGCACATCACGCCACAGCTTCTTTTTTCTTTTTGAAAGACAAATAATTGCTTTTCACTTTTATTCCATTCTGAAGTGGTGCTTTCCAAACGAATCCTTAGCTTCTGCTATGCTTCGAGGGTTTTCATCTCTGGCATTGCTTAGATCTTAGCCTTAGCTGTCATGCCATAGCAGAACTCCTTCCTGGCAAGAAGAAACCTCACCCTCTTTGTTGTCCTCCAAGCACCATTTGTTGAGAAAAGGCTCTTCCGGTATTCTATTCAGAAAGGAAAAGTCTTTTGCTGGCTCCTATCTGAAAAAAGACTCCTGTAATTGGGAGAATATGTCTACTTAATTGGGAGACAAAGTACTTCCCAGAGTCACCATTTCTGCAATGGGCAGAGTGAGATTCAATAGAAGATGAGCTCCTGAATGGGTGCCAGCAGCACCCAGGACAGGCATCCATGGCCAATTTTACTTTCAGAGCTGTTCAGTATAAAATGGGAAAAGAGGTATTGAGGAACGATGAACATAATCTATACATAAACTTGAAATTTATGTATAAGGCGTTAATAATAATGAAAAACTTCCTCTCACCATTCCTGTCCACTTCATCTTCCCTAACAGCAGAAGTGACTTCCAATTCCACATTGGTCTCGTCAATCCCTCCTCCTTCGACGTCCGCTACAGAGCCCTCTTCCCGCTCAAGGGTGACAGTGCCTTACAGTGGGAGCCCAACCACAAGCCAGGAGGCCTCACTTCCGGCAACTTCCAGCACCCCCAGGCCTTCCCCGCAAGAGAGTCCCAAGACCCCCACGCTTCCCATCACTTCCTTGGTCACCACCGGCCCTCAGGTGCTCTCCTCCGGCACCACGGAGTCACCCACTACGTCTTCTCCAACTGCAGAACAGCCAAACACAACGCGGGCCTCTTCCCCTCGCCTTTCGGCCACAGGGACCACCCACCAGGAAAGGACGTTGGAATCCACGAGTCGGAGCACGAGCGAAGAGACAGAAAGCAGTACGCCCACGGTGGGAAGAAGCGTGCCCAGCACCACGGTGTCGACCGGAAGCACTCGCGAGGTCAGCTTGCCCTCCAGCTTGCCCTCCAGCTTCTCCCCTTTCCCAGGACAGGAGTCCACTCACACCACAGCCGTGCCCACCTCTCCTTGGAGCACAGCAGAAGTGACTTCCACTCCCCCACCGGTCTCGTCAACCTCTCCTCCTTTGACGTCTGCCACAGAGCCATCTTCCCGCTCAAGGGTGACGGTGTCTTCCAGGGGGAGCCCAAACACAAGCCAGGAGTACTCACTTCCGGTACCTTCCAGCACCTCCAGGCCTTCCCCGCAAGGGAGTCCCGAGACCCCCACGCTTCCCATCACTTCCTCGGTCACCACTGGCCCCCAGGTGCTCTCCTCCGGCACCACGGAGTCACCGGCTCTGTCTTCCCCCACTGCGGAGCAGGCAAGCACAAGGCGGGCCTCTTCCCCTCGCCTTTCGTCCACAGGGACCACCCACCAGAAAAGGACCTTGGAATCCACGAGTGAGAGCACGAGCAAAGAGCGGGGAAGCAGCACGCCCACAGTGAGAAGCAACGTGTCCAGCACCACAGTGTCGACCAGAAGCACTCGCGAGGCCAGCTTGACCTCCAGCTTCTCCCCCTCCACAGCGCATGAGTCCACTCGCACCACTGGCGTGGCCACCTCTTCTCGGAGAAAAGCAAAAGTGACTTGCACTCCCCCACCGGTCTCGTCAACCTCTGCTCCTTCGATGTATGCCACAGAGCCGTCTTCCCACTCGAGGGTGACGGTGCCTTCCAGTGGGAGCCCAACCACAAGCCAGGAGTACTCACTTCCGGTAACTTTCAGTACCTCCAGGCCTTCTCGGCAAGAGAATCCTGAGATCCCGACGCTTCCCATCACTTCCTCGGTCACCGCTGGCCCTCAGGTGGTCTCCAGCACCACGGAGTCACCAGCTCCGTCTTCCCTGACTGCGGAACAGCGGAGCACAACCCTGGCCTCTTCCCCTTGCCTGTATTCCACAAGAGCCACCCACCAGGAAAGGACCTTGAAATCCACGAGTCGGAGCATGAGCGAAGAGACAGAAAGTAGCATGCCCATGGTGGGAAACAGCGTTCCCAGCACCACGGTGTTGACCAGAAGGACTCGCAAGGCCAGCTTGCCCTCCAGCTTGCCCTCCAGCTTCTCCCCCTCCACAGCCCATGAGTCCAGGCAAACCACTGGCGTGCCCAGCTCTCCTCGGAGCACAGCAGAAGTGACTTCAACTCCCCCACCGGTCTCATCAACCCCTCCTCATTCGATATCCGCCACAGAGCCCTCTTCCCGCTCGAGGGTGCCTTCCAGTGGGAGCCCAACCACAAGTGAGAAGTACTCCTTTCCAGTAACTTCCAGCACCCTCAGGCCTTCCCCGCAAGAGAGTCCCGACACCCCCATGTTTTCCATCACTTCCTCGGTCACCGCAGGCCCGCAGCTGGTCTCGTCTGGCACCACGGAGTCACCCACTATGTATTCTCCGACTGCGGAGCAGCCAAGCACAATGTCGGCCTCTTCCCCTCGCCTTTCGTCCACAGGGACCACCAACCGGGAAAGGACCTTGGAATCCACGAGTCGGAGCACGAGCGAAGAGACAGAAAGTAGTACCCCCACGGTGGGAAGCAGCGTGCCCAGCACCATGGTGTCGAACAGAAGCACTCGCGAGGCCAGCTTGCCCTCCAGCTTGCCCTCCAGCTTCTCCCCCTCCACAGCCCATGAGTCCAGTCAAACCACAGGTGTGCCCACCTCTCCTTGGAGCACAGCAGAAGTGACTTCAACTCCCCCACTGGTGTCGTCAACCCCTCCTCCTTGGACGTCTGCGACAGAGCCGTCTTCCCGCTCGAGGGTGACGGTGCCTTACAGTGGGAGCCCAACCACAAGCCAGGAGGCCTCACTTCCGGCAACTTCCAGCACCCCCGGGCCTTCCCCGCAAGTGAGTCCCGAAACCCCCACGCTCCCCACCCCTTCCTCGGTCACCGCCGGCCCACAGCTGGTCTCCTCTGGCACCACGGAGTCACTGACTCCCACTTCCCCCACCGTGGAGCAGCCAAGCACAACGCGGGCCTCTTCCCCTCACCTTTCGTCCA